TGAACAAATTAAAACCTGAGTATTTTCTGTGGTTGCTCAGCGCACATGGCAGAAAGGGGTAAACAGTGAAGTCGTGCTCCGTCAAACTGGGCGGGCCCCAGTAAATGGAGTTGGGCGAGGTCGTGGTGGTAGTGTGGACCGTGGTCGGGGTCGGGGTCGTGGCACTGGGTCATATTACAGCCGTGGTCTTAGCTACGATGAAGAAGCGGAACCTCGGGGCCCAAGAGAAGGAGCTCCACCGGGTATTGGCATTAGGTAGGCTGTCTGCATAAATGTTTGGAAATGCTATAGTATTATGTTTTTGTTCTATAATTACTAAAATTATTAATCCATAGCTCCTCAATTGTATGTGTGTGCTGCATGTTTCATGTCAGAGATAAATATAAAAAAAGTGAGCCAGTTACGGGAATGAATGTGTGCATGCTTTCCATGTTGTGCCTGCAGGGGTTGGGCCACAGCTCCTGCTCCTGTCTTGTACTACTTAGTCAGCTAGTACATTTGAGTCTTTTTTATTGAGTTTACCTTCACTATCTTGGCCTACCCCATCCTACTACACATGTGTTGCCTGTATACTGAAAAAGTACTTGACATTCATGGTCCACTTAAGGGAAACTTTATACCTAAGTGCCCATTCAACATTTAATGTAGAGGAAAATTAAGTCTAGAACAAACTTGTGGATGTGTTGATAATAGAAATGAACACTATACTAAGCATAATTTTTATTGTATGTTGTATGTTTTATTGTATGTTGTATTGTATGTTATTTATCAGTTATGCTGATAATTTTCTTTTAACACCAAGGGTGGGTGTTAATGCAATTTTTTTTTTCCAACAAGTTGGCCATCTCCCACTGAGGCAGGGTGACCCAAAAAGAAAGAAAATCCCCAAAAAGAAATTACTTTCATTATCATTCAACACTCACACATAATCACTGTTTTTGCAGAGGTGCCCAGGATACAACAGTTTAGGAGTATATATGTATAAAAAATACACAATATATCTCTCCAAACTGCCAATATCCCAAACCCCTCCTTTAGAGTGCAGGCATTGTACTTCCTATTTCCAGGACTCAAGTCCGGTTATATAAAATAACCGGTTTCCCTGAATCCCTTCACTAAATATTACCCTGCTCACACTCCAAAAGATCGTCAGGTCCCAAATACCATTTGTCTCCATTCACTCCTATCCAACACGCTCACACACGCTTGCTGGAAATCCAAACCCTTCGCCCACAACACCTCCTTTACTCCTTCCCTCCAACCTTTTCGAGGACGACCCCTACCCCGCCTTCCTTCGCCTACAGATTTATATGCTCTCCATGTCATTCTACTTTGATCCATTCTCTCTAAATGACCAAACCACCTCAACAAACTCTCTTCAGCCCTCTGACTAATACTTTTATTAACCCCACACCTTCTAATTTCCACACTCCGAATTTTCTGCATAATATTTACACCACACATTGCCCTGAGACAGGACATCTCCACTGCCTCCTCGCTGCAGCATTTACAACCCAGGCTTGGAGGCAGTGGAGATGTCCTGTCTAAGGGCAATGTGTGGTGTAAATATTATGCAGAAAATTCGGAGTGTGGAAATTAGGAGAAGGTGTGGGGTTAATAAAAGTATTAGTCAGAGGGCTGAAGAGGGTTTGTTGAGGTGGTCTGGTAATTTAGAGGGAATGGATCAAAGTAGAATGACATGGAGAGCGTATAAATCTGTAGGCGAAGGAAGGCGGGGTAGGGGTCGTCCTTGAAAAGGTTGGAAGGAGGGGGTAAAGGTGTTGTGGGCGAGGGGTTTGGACTTCCAGCAAGCATGCGTGAGCTGAGCGTGTTAGATAGGAGTGAATGGAGACAAATGGTATTTGTAAAATTTAAATTTTAAATGCTAATGAATATTAGTGTAATTATTTGGATCTGCTTTTTTTTGTGCAGGTAGTTTCTCAAATTTGGCAGAGATAGTTTTCCAGCTATTTAATGTTTTATTGACACTGTTCAGCCCAACAAGTTTCTGTTGCAGCATGCAAGAACTTAGGTTTTTTTTTTTTTTTTAATTTTTAACTTTCATAGATATATTTATTAGCAGCAAAGTTGTCAAAGGTTATGTTCAGAAATTACCTTTAGTATATCTTAAGGTATTAGATGCTTTTGAAGTGTAGTGAAATAACCTATAGTTCCCTACACAAATCTACAACATCAGTATCTCTTTAATTACCCTACTTTATTTCTATAGAGGAATTAAGCTCGTATATATGATTGTACAGAAGTATTGAGGACTTCAGTGTAGTACTGCAGTTTGCTTTGATTTTTTTTTGTTAGCCCTTTCAGGGTTGCAACTCCTGCTCTCAAGCTTGCTCTCACGATCCCAAAATTTAAGGAAAAAAAAAACAAGTTATTTTTTTTTCTTATAAAATGGTAGAGAATTTTTTTTTCTGAATGTAATAAGAAAAAGTACAAAATTTGATGGAAAACTGGCCAGGTTACACTTTCGCGAATTTTGCTGTGCCAGTGATATTTACACACCGGCAATTTTGTCCTCTTTGAGCCAAAATTTTAGGCCAGTTCCATTGCTTCAGTTGTACAGAGGTAAACTCCAGGACCAAATTCTTAGCTATTTTGCTAAAATGTCTTCCATTCTGTTGATTGAGTACAAGAAACTGCATTCAACTATTTAAACTACCCAATAAAGTGATCAGAAATTGGTAATTTGGTCAATTTCACACAAAATTCAAGAAATGCCAATTTCAAAGTAGGGTCCAGAATGAATAGTGCAGACATTCATGGTACTAAAATAACATTTTCTCTGTTCATTAGTCACATCTCCAGGCCCCTCTTCTGTTACATTTGCTTTCCATTTTGAATTTTTATTTACACAAAATATAGAAGATTTACTGTTATGCTGACTACTGCATTATTGTAATTATATAAATAATGTCAGTGCATCCCTAAATGTATACTAGATTGGCCAGTTGGACGTGTATTGTTCCCTGGATGTTGACAAAGGTGTGCCAAATGGGTAGGAAACCGTCAAATGAAACCAGATAATCAGCACTAACTTTGTGATAGTTACCTGGTGTGCCTGTATGGATGAGTCTGCTCTGCTCGTCCCAGTGGCTCCTCCCTCACTCTCTGGTCCCCTACCATATCAGTTAGTCCTAGTTTACCCATTTAGCATTTACCATATCATGAGCATTTTACCCCTGATTTATTGCTCCTCCTTTTTCCAGGAAGTTAGGGGAGTAAGAATAAGTGAGTGAGGGCATGAGAGCTATCTAGACTTTGTTTAGGTCTTCTAGAAATCTTTTAATTGACTATAATTGATTTGCCAAAAAAAAAAAAAAAAACACTATTCATTGTTGTGCATTGCTATTAAGCTACATATGTAAGCAATTTAAATCTTGTATGTAACAAATTTATTCCAAAATAATCTCTCAGTATATTTCTACAGGAGTAAACCATTTGAAAGATCCCAGAGTGTACATGAACAACGGCCTTGGAATGAACGTGGTCCTGTAAATACAGTCAGTGCTGGTGGTGGTCCAGAGGAACGCAATGGGGCTGTGTCACCACGTAAGGAGCAAGGGCGAGCCTCAACTGAAAACTGGAGGTCCCGAGGTGGTGAAAATGATGAGAGTGAACGCTGGAGGGGAGCTGGGGGTAACCGCAATGAAAAATGGGGTGAGTAAATCAGCAATGTTATTTTTTTTTTTAACACACTGGCTGTCTCCCACCAAGATAGGATGACCTGATACTACAGTTCAGATGCATCTTCAGACTGCATATATCCCCACTCCTCCAGAGTTCAGGCACTTGACTTCCCACCTCCAGGACTTGAAGAATGACTAACCAGTTTCCCTGAATCCCTTCCCAAATACAATGGAACCTCGGTTTTCATATGCCCTGGTTTTTATAGGATTTGGTTTACGATGACTTTTTTTTTTGTCTAAATTTTGTCCCAGTTTTCGTACAGCCACTTGGTTTTCGTAGAGTTGACAATGGTTCGTACCAAACACGTCCGCTTGCCTGTTTCCACACAGAGCATCCCACGTGTTCTGACTCAGTCTGGCGTTGTTTCTCGTTGAGGGAACATTACGCCGTGCGTTTGAATAACATTTTGTAATCCATTGTTTTTTGTGCTTGTTTATTGAGTGTGACTACTAAATAAGCCACCCTGGGGCCAAAGAAAGTTGAGTGCCAGCCCTTCAATAAAGAGAGCAAGAAGCATGATAGAATTCAAGGAAGAACTCGTAGCAAAGTATGAAGTGGTGTACGCATGGCCGATCTCGCCAGGATGTAAGGGAAGTCCGCATCAACGATCATTTCCATCCTGGTGAAGAAAAGAGAAATCAAGAAAGCTGATGTTGCGAAAGGGGTAAACATGCTAATGAAACGAAGATTGCAAACAATCGAAGATGTTGAGAAGTTGTTGTTGGTATGGATCACTGAAAAAGTTAGTGGGAGATAGTGTTTCGGAGGTGATAATTTGTGAAAAAGCAAGGCAGTTGCATGTGGATCTCACAAAGAAAATGCTGGAACGAGTGCTGCTGTTAGTGAATTTAAGGCCAGCAGAGGCTGGTTCGACAAATTCAAGAAGTGAACTAGCATACACAGTGTGGTAAGGCATGGCGAGGCTGCAGGTTCAGACAAACGTGAGGCTGAAGAATTTGTTGATGAATTCAAGGAGTACATAGAGGCTGAAGGATTCCTCTCCCAACAAGTCTTCAGTTGTGATGAAACAGGCCTCTATTGGAAGAAAATGCCAAAGAGGACCTACATCACACAGGAGGAAAAGGCACTGCTAGGATACAAGCCTATAAAGGATAGGCTAACTCTTGTTTTGTGGTAATGCTAGTAGGGATTTCAGAGTGAAGCCTTTACTGGTGTATCACTCTGAAAATCACCTTTACTGGTGTATCACTGAAAATCACCTTTACTGGTGTATCACTCTGAAAATCACCTTTACTGGTGTATCACTCTGAAAATCACCTTTACTGGTGTATCACTCTGAAAATCACCTTTACTGGTGTATCACTCTGAAAATCACCTTTACTGGTGTATCACTCTGAAAATCACCTTTACTGGTGTATCACTCTGAAAATCACCTTTACTGGTGTATCACTCTGAAAATCCCCAAGTGTTCAAGAAAAACAATGTCATCAAGAGTAAATTGTGTGTGATGTGGAAGGCTAACAATAAGCCATGGGCCATGAGGCAAAATTTCATGAGTGGGTCAATGAAGTGTTAGGCCCGAGTGTGAAGAAATACCTCCTGGAAAAGCAGTTGCTACTCGAGTGCCTCCTGGTAATGGACAGTGCTCCTGCTCATCCTCCAGGCTTGGAAGACCAATTGTTGGAGGAGTTTAGTTTCATCACAGTGAAGTTCTTGCCCCCTAATATCACTCCTCTCATCCAGCCCATGGACCAGCAGGTCATTTCAAACTTCAAAAAACTCTATACCAGTGCAGTGTTTCAAAGGTGCTTTGAAGTGACCTCGGACACTGAATTGACCCTAAGACGGTTCTGGAGGAATCGCTTCAGTATCCTCAATTGCATAAGCCTTATAGATAAGGCTTGGCAGGGAGTGACTTCCAGGACGATGAACTCTGCTTAGAGAAAATTGCGGCTGGAATGTGTTCTCGAGAGGGATTTTGAAGGGTTTGAGGCTGACCCTAATGACCGTACGCATATTGTGGAATCTCTTGTGTCTTTGGGGAAGTCCATGGGGTTGGATGTGAATGGCCAGGATGTGGAAGAGTTGGTGAACGACCACGGGGAAGAGCTAACCACTGAAGAGCTGCAAGACCTTCAACTAGAACAGCAACAGACTGCAGCTGAAGAAATTGCTTCAGAGGAGGAAGAGAGAGGGGAGAATGTGCCCTCTTCAGTGATTAACCCTTTCAGGGTTTCGGCCGTACTAGTACGGCTTACGAGCCAGGGTTTTTGGCGTACTAGTACACCTAAATTCTAGCGCCCTCAAATCTAGTGAGAGAAAGCTGGTAGGCCTACATATGAAAGAATGGGTCTATGTGGTCAGTGTGCGCAGTATAAAAAAAATCCTGCAGCACACAGTGCGTAATGAGAAAAAAAAACTTTGACTCTGTTTTTGGATTAAAACAGCGACTTTGCACTGTATTTTCGTATGGTATTTATTGTATTATAGTTTTCCTGGTCTCATCTTATAGAATGGAAGACATATTACAGAAATTGAGATGATTTTGACTGGTTTTACAAAGAAAAGTACCTTGAAATTGAGGTCAAAGTAGCAGAAATGTTCGATTTTTACCAAAGTTCAAAAGTAAACAAATCATGCTATGCGTCCAATACATATCAACTGGTGAGTCTAATATTCTTTCACAAGTGCGCTGATATTATTTATACCATTTCTACACCAATGCAGTAGTCTGCATAACAGTAAATCTTTTTTTTTTTTGTGAGAATAAAAATTCAAAGTGGAAAGCAAAAGAATGTAACAGGGGCATGGAGACGTGACTAATGAACAGAGGAAATGTTATTTTAGTGCCAGGAATGTCTTTCTTGTTTATTCTGGACTCCATTCGGAAATTGGCAACTTTTGAAATTTGTGTGAAATTGGCAAAATTGCTAAATTCTGACCACTGTATTGGATAGTTGAAATTGGTAAATGGGTGGTTTCTTGTACTCATTCGATAGAAAAAATGGAGTTCTAGCGAAATAGTTATGATTTTTGTTGACAAGTGTACTGGAATTGGCCAAAAATAGGGCTCAAAGTGGGCAAAATCGCCAATGCGTAAACATCGTCGAGACCGCTTACTTCGTGAGAGCATAATTCCGTAAGTTTTCCATCAAATTTCATACTTTTGGTGTCATTATGATCGGGAAAAGATTCTCTATCTTTTCATAAGAATTTTTTTTTTTTTTTTTTTTTTGAAATTTGGCCGACCCTGAGAGCAAGTCTCTGAGAGGGCCTTTCGACCCTGAAAGGGTTAAGGACATGTGCAAAGTGGAATGAGTTACAAAGTTTTGTGGAGAAATATCACCCTAACAAAGCTGTTGAAAGCTGTCAGCAACATGTTCAATGTCAATGCCTTGTCCCATTTTAGGCGTATCTTAGAGACGCATGAAACAGACCTCTCTGGACAGATTTTTTGTGCGACGAGGATACAGTGACTCTCAAGCTCATTGTTTTCTGTATGCAAAACGATAATTATTCATTAGAAAATGTATTTTTTGTTGATATTTTTGGGTGTCTGGAATGGATTAATTGGATTTGCATTATTTCTTATGGGAAATGTTGCTTCAGTTTTCTTACAGTTCGGTTTTCGTCAGATTTTCTGGAACAGATTAATTGTGAAAACCGAGGTTCCACATATTATCTTGCTCACACTCCAACAGCAAGTCCCTAAAACATTTGTTTCTACTCCTGTCTAATATGCTCAAACATCTGTTGGACATCTAAACCCCATTGCACACAAAACCACTTTTGCTCCTTCCTCCAACCTTTCCTAGAGTGACCCATACCCTGCCTTCCTTCCACTACAGAGTTATACACCCTCCAAGTCATCCTGTTTTGCCCCAGCCTCTCTAAATGACCAAACCGCCTCAACAAACCTTCCTCAGCCCTCTGGATAATACTTTTAGTAACCCCTCATCTCTTCCTAATCTCCAAGCTACAAATTTTCTGCACATTTACCACACACACTGCCCTTAGACACGACATCTCCACTGCCTCCAGCCTCCTCCTTTGCTGCAGCATTCACAACCCATGTAAGAGTATTGGTACTACTGTAGTCTTATACATTTTCCTCTTTGCCTTTGTGGATAATGTTTTTTTTTGTCTCCACAGATGCCTCACTACATCACCCACCTTTCTCTATCAATTCTTTGGTTCACCTCATTTTTCGTATACGTACCCATTTACTGACAGGTCCACTTGCAAATACAGTGGAACCTCGGCTTACGAATGCCTCACCATGCAAATTTTTCAGATACGAACAGTTGCTCGGTTGATTTTTTGCTTCTGGATATGAACGAAATTTCAGGATGCGAGCTTCCCCCTCAAGGGAAGTTCCTTGATGAAGGGCTCTTGATTTAGGGAATTGGATCTGTGTTCCAGTTCCTTAAATTAATAATAATAATAATAATAATAATTATTATAATTTTTTTTCAATAAGTCGGCCATCTCCCACTGAGGCAGGGTGACCCAAAAAGAAAGAAAATCCCCAAAAAGAAGATACTTTCATCATCATTCAACAATTTCACCTCACTCACACATAATCACTGTTTTTGCAGAGGTGCCCAGAATACAAAAGTTTAGAAGTATATACATACAAAAATACACAATATATCCCTCCAAACTGCCAATATCCCAAACCCCTCCTTTAGAGTACAGGCATTGTACTTGCCATTTCCAGGACTCAAGTCCGGCTATATAAAAATAACCGGTTTCCCTGAATCCCTTCACTAAATATTACCCTGCTCACACTCCAACAGATTGTCAGGTCCCAAATACCATTCGTCTCCATTCACTCCTATCGAACACATTCATGCATGCCTGCTGGATGTCCAAGCCCCTCGCCCACAAAACCTCCCTTACCCCTTCCTTCCAACCTTTTCGAGGACGACCCCTACCCCGCCTTCCTTCCCCTTCAGATTTATACGCTTTCCATGTCATTCTACTTTGATCCATTCTCTCTAAACAAC